CCCCAAAACCCCAAAACCCCAAGGTGTATATAGTTTAGTTATTCAGAATTATTTATGATATTAAGCAAAAATATAAATTAAAGCCATGAATTATTTATCAATTGTGATTTTCCTTGAGTGAGTTATCAAATGACTTAAATATTTTTCCACACATTCAGTATTCACCAATAGCATTTCCTTTGACACTTATGCCTAATTGAGAGGAATCATGAACTTTATCCATGATCAGGTCCTCATATCTTTTTTAATAGTTCTTGAATGATCTAAGCACCATCACATTGAATAAACAGCCTAAGGTAAAGAATATAATGGTCAAGGAACATCTGATAAACATGGCATGCTCGAATTATAAAATAGATTTTTAATCTTCTTGAGATTGTTGAATATCGTAGGTATCATTTTGTTTTTGGAATTTATTGTCTGCTTTTTCCACAATATATATCAGTACTGCTGAGAATACTAAGCTACTTGATGCTTAAATGAAGGCAAACAAAAACACAGTGTCAAAAATATTTCTAGTTTTTTGCTACATTTATTTAAACTAGCCATTTCCTTTGTTTATTAGACTTTGAATGGTAAAGATTGTTTTTAATGATATATAAAGAATAAGTCCTCCTTCGATTAATGTAAGTGAATTCATTAAAAGAGAAAGTCCTTGTAACAATGCATATGTCATTTTGTTAAATTCAAAACTCAACCCTCCATATTATTCCTTGTCATTTTAAGATTAATCATTTTATTCAGGTCTTATAGTAAAGACATACCTACTAGTATCTATAGCTCTCTTTGATTCAATCAAATCATAAGTAAGAGCTGAATAACCGCTTAACAGCAAGATTAATCCCAGTAACACCAGAACTATTGCAAACCTCCTAGTTTTCACCTAGTAACTATATATCTCTTCTGTTATATCTTCTGTCATTGTGCTGCTTAAAGAAGCTGTCCGTTTATGGTTGCCTATTATTGATGGTCCTGTTTAGTCAATATTATCAGTTATATCTGTGATATCTATATTAGCATTCACTACACTATCATCTTGCTGTTTCTGATATCTTTATTCATCTTTCTTCCCAAAGCTCATCTTTCTCATTTCTAAAATTAAATCTTTTCCTTTAAGTTGAACTAATTACTAATAATAAATATGCAAAATTAAGTGTTAAATCTTATCTGATGACATTCGACTAATCTTGCCTGATGGGGTTTTGGGGTTTTGGGGTTTTGGGG